ACTCAGACCGTGCCTCACGTGCTGCATGTCGCCGTATGCACCCTTGACCTAATATACGGATGTAAATGACTGGAAATAATATACCCTTACATAGTCCCTATTTAGTAGTTAGGCGGTAAGATTAGGGGGGATTTTTGGGGACATAGACCTGCTCAATAAGGTCCCGTTTAAGAGGGCCCTTAGTAGGGTTAAGAAGAGCCCCCTTTAAGGGGTCTACCTAATACTGCCTAGGAGTAATGCTATAACATGACCCAAGATCCGGTTCGAAATCGAAGGTCGCTGTACTAGGCTCCCCGACAGCGACTTGACACTCCGAAAGCGGCGGTAGCCCAAGCTGGGCCCACCCAGGTCCGCACCTTTGAAGAGTTTTGTTAGGTTTTCAGGATCTTCGTCCGGGGCTTTTGGGTCGAGAGTCACGATCTTGAGGCGTAGGGTCGACGATCTTCGGAAATGTCTTCTGAGCGTCGAGGGCGTGACTCAGGTTTCAACGAGGGCCGCTTCGCATGAGACTTGTTAATTATGCCGAGCAAGGTTCGTTTGTCTCGAGCACTGGGCGTTCGGTACTGGCTTCGTGGATGAAGTGGCTATGTTGAAAAGAACGACATGCGTTGGAACTCGCTTCGAAAGTCTCTATGCGAAGGGCCTGCAGCACCTCGAATGGTCTTTAGCAGTCTTGGTTGAAGCCAGCCCTACGATGACTGTAGCATCGGCCTTACCACGGCGACAACTAGGCTTTGACGATGACGATTAGCAGGACGATGCTGATGATGATGAGGATGGCGATGAGGAGGAGGCTGACCATGACGGTGCCCATGATGACGGTGATGATGATGAGGATGAGGATGAGGATGATGAGGATGACGATGACGATGACGATGACGATGACGATGGTGATGGTGGTGGTAATGATGTTGATGACGATGATGATGATGATGATGATGATGACGACGGTGATGATGATGACGATAACGATGACGATGGTGATGGCCGTGGTAGTGATGATGATGATGAGGAGGAGGAGGATACGAAGCTGATAACGATCAACCCAGATGGCGTCAGCGAGATGAACTTCATGTTCTCCACACCAACACTTTCCTAGTTGCATCATCAGGCTCATCTTTCCCTGCTACTCGCATGCTCTGTCCTTTCCCGATTAATCACTTTCGTGCGCCAGCAATGATCAGTGCCACGAGGGGCTCGCGATGGTCATTCATACCATCATCGACCGGTGCATGAGGCCCATGGTTCTTCACATCCTTAGGGGTTTAGGGTTTAGGGCCTTAGGAGACGTTGCTCTGCCATAGGGACTGCGGAGTCGGCGTCCTTAAATATTGAAGGGAGGGGCAGCCACACAAGCACAGGAGTGAACCAAGTATGCTCCGACTGAGTCTGGGACGCTGGTACTCATCAAACCTTCGAAAAGCAGAGCTTGCTTTCTTGTTCAACTCCAGACAAACCATTTCTCCAAACATTCTTAAGCTGATGAGATATAGGGGTCAAATGGCAGAGAGTGGGCCCTGAAGCGCTCTGGCGCAGGACTGTGTGTGGACCCAGCTTTCTGGGAGGAGCTTAGGAACCGACGGCCCTGACCTTCCGACTTAGGGTTTAGGGACCGACAACAACAAACAAAGGCGCGTGCTCCATAGCAACAAGATGACACAAAGGAGAGTAGTAGGCCCCGCCGATCTCCAACTCCCCAGCACAGTCTTCGGGATAACCCCTAACGACTGCCGCATATCCGACCAAGGGAGTTCCTCCGATTACAGAAGCTACCCTAAACCTTTAAACGTCTGAACCGAGCCAAATCAAAACCCATTTCAGATATGTTCGCGTTGTTGCCTCCGTCTCAAAACCGATTTGCTGTACCAGGTGATCAAAAACAACGGGCATAATTTCAGAAGATGAGGACTTCGCTCCTTGTGGCGACAGCACCCCACCCGCAAATCATTCATACATACATACATACATACATACATACATACATACATACATACATACACAAATATGTGTATATATATATACACATACATATGTATATACATGTGTGTGTATCCATATGTACATAGACATAGCGAGTCAGCAAATCTTCAAACCCTAAGGGCATAAAAGTCGGAACTAGGGCGGAGCTCTAGCGGGGGTGAGGACACACAGTTCAGGGCACGCTCCTGGCTGCTTCTACCCTTCATTGAAGAAACCTTAAACCCTAATCCTGCAGCTTAGACCTCAAACCCTAAACTCTAAGCCCAAGCCGGAAACCTCAAAGCCGGAAGCCCTAATCTAAGCCCCAAACCCTAAACCTTCAACCCCAAACCCTAAACCCTGAACCCCAAACCCTAAACCCTGCACGGAACTCCTAAAGAGGCACCTGGCCATGAGCACCTTGTGCTGTCGGTCGAGCCGTCGGCTGAGACCTCCGGGCAGAGAAGGGGGGCTGCCTAAACCCTCAACCCTAAACCCTAAACGCTCGGATTTGATCTCAGGGTTTAAGAGATCTTCTTTTCGTTTTGAAAGGGCTTCAGGGTTCGGCATTCTGGTTTTCAGGGGTTAGGGTTTATGGGTGCTTTGTGTTTTAAAAGGGCTTCAGGGTTCGGCATTCTGGGTTTCAGGGGTTAGGGTTTAGGGTTTAGGATTTAGGGTTTCAGGGTTGTTTTGAATGCAATGGGCCCCCCCTTTCTCCGCAGGCAGCTCACCCCACGGGGAGCTGCACTCAGGGTTTAGGCTTTCGGGTTTAGGAGTTTAGGGTTTCGGGCTTCAGGGTTTCAGGTGTTCACGACTAGAGGGTTTCAGGGTTTAGGGCTTCAGGCTTAGGGGTTGCAGGTTTAGGGGTTTAGGGTTTGAGGATTTAGGGGTTTGGGGTGTCGGGGTTTCACGATTTCAGGGTACAGGGTTTGGGGCTTAGTGTGCAGGATTTAGGGGTTTTTTTTTTTGGGGGGGGGGGGTCAGGCTTTAGGGTTTTCAGAGTTTCAGGGTCTAGGTTTAGCTCAGAATTTAGGGTTTCAGGGTTTCGGATTTCGGCTTTGGAGTTCCTTTCAGGGCTCCTTTCAAGATTAGGGTCTCTTTTTAAGCTCCTTCTTATAAGGGTGCCGTACTATATTGCGGACCCAAGACGGGGCCCTAATTTAGAGAACTACCCATTTAGCTGAAGGCCTTTCAGCCTGAAAACTGCCGCAGGTCCCTTAGCCACAGCTTGGCCAAGAAGGCTGAGGCTTGGTCTCATGAAGCTCTTCTTGGCATCCGCCACGCCTGGTCATGGGTGGGACGGCTTAGGCGCTTTTTTACGAGGGCCTTCGCAGCGAAGCGGTTTAGGGTTTATTAAGCTCGGCTGCGGAATCCACCCTAAGCCCTAAACCCTAAACCCTAAACCCCAAACCCTAAACCCTAATCATACGGAAAAGGGCGTGAAGAGGTCGAGGAATGGTGTCACAGAGCTCCATGCTCGAGGATCACATGACTTCTAGGTAACAGGAACTGCGGCGTCGGCCTGGACAGGTCCTTTTAGGGTTTAGGGGTTTAGGGTTTAGGGTTTAGGTGTTTTTCTTTTTTTTTACGGGCCTTTTCTGTTGCACATGGCGTCGGAGCCCATCTTGGGTTTAGGGTTAAGGGTTAAGGGTTTAGGGTTTAGGGTGTAGGGTGTGGGGTTTACCCGTCTTGCCCGCACCAGTGCGGCTCTTACTATCAGGAGTACTGCCGTTCCAGGTCTCTCGCGATTTCGACATGTCTAACCAGGATTGGTACGTGTTTACGGCTTCCGATGCTCTCGTGTTCGCTCTCAACTGCTGAAATCTGCATTTGCTGAGGATCCTTGTAGGGCTTGGGTTAGGGATTTTGGGATTTGGGGCCTGGTAAGCGGCACAGGGTTTGGATTAGGGAGTGTGGGTGCTGCTGCTGTGTGCATTGACGAGAGGAGAGGGCTGAATCAAGCCGCTACACCTACAAACCCTAAACCCTAAACCCTGAACCCCCAAACCCTAAACCCTAAACCCCTAAACCCCTAAACCCTGAACCCTAAACCCCTGAACCCTGAACCCTAAACCTCTGAACCCTGAATCCCGAATCTCCCCAAACCCCGAAACCCCAGCTGCAGACCCTGGGCTGGCCTGCTTGGACCTTGGAGCTCACCAGCTTGACCTCACTAGGGAGACCAAGAACTCCGCTTTTACGCCATAGCTCGGGGTTTTGGGCTTAGGGTTTAGGGTTTAGGGTTTAGGGGGGCTAGAGCTTAGGGTTTAAGGCTTCGGGCTCAGGGTTTTGTGGCCTCTAGGGATGCCTCAGAGCGACCCCGCCTTACAGAGCCAGGGCCAGCTTGTGTATGCCCCCTCTCCAGCAAGCATGCAACGATGGCACTTACCTTGCCTGAGGTTCCGGGCATCTCATCAATGAAGGGCTTCATCGCATATTTGTGGAGTCTTTTTTGGGGGGTTGGGGTGTGGCGTTTAGGCATCAGAAATGTCGCTTCGGGTTCTAATCTTGGTCATTCTTGCACCGCTTTCCGAAGCCCCCTGGAAGGCGTGGCTGAAGGGTCCCTGGTCTGCTCAGCCCTGGAAGATCCCAGAAGAACAGAGCTACTAATGAGGGCACCTTCTAGGGTTTAGGGGTGTGGGGTTTATGGGGTGTAGGGTTTAGGGTTTGTTTAGGAGCCTTTTTTATTCTGGATTTTAGCTGGAGGCCGCATGCCGCGGAACCTCGGACACCAAGCCTGAACACTGAACACCCGAACCAAACTAAACACTGAACACCCGAACCAAACTACAAAGCACACAACCCTGATGGCGAACCTCTTGGTAGCCTTCCAGTAAGCCCTGTTAGTACGCTCTAGGAATGCAAGCAACCTTGTGCGAACCCTTGTAGATTATGAGAACCTACTAGCAACACGTCCCTTAAACCCTAAACCCTAAACCCCTAAACCCTGAACCGTAAGCCCTAAATCCTGAAAAGCCTTGAGCCCTAAACCCTGAACCAGAAGCCTGGCACCCTGAAGCCCCACAGACCAAGCTCCCTGCGCCCAGCTCAACCTTCAGAAGCCGTCGGCCGGTCACGGCCTGCGATTCTTATAGGGTTGAGGGTTTAGAGTTTAGGGTTTGAGGGTTTAGGGTTTAGGGGTTTAGGGTTTACGGTTTAGGTTTTAGGGTTTAGGGTTTGGGGGTTTAGGGTTTATTCTGGGATCCTTCCTGGGGGTTTCGTGAGACTTCCCAGGGCTTCCACGAGTTCAGGGCTTTCAGGGTCTAGGGTTTAGGGGTGTAGGGCTTCAGGACGTGAGGGCTTGGGGGTTTGCGAGTTTAGGGCTTCAGGGTTTGAGGGTTTCGGGTTTGGGGTTTGGGGTGGCGGTGGCTTCAAGGGGGGTTCAAGGGGGCGTCTACAACCTACTGGTAGCCCCCCCGGAAATCCCTGCCCCAGGATGCAGCTTCTGGGCTGCAACCAAACGAGACGAGAGGGGCTGTAGGGGTTCAGGGATTAGGGTTTCGGGTTTGGGGGCTTTTTTTTTGAAGGTGAGGGTGTCGGGTTTAGGTGTATATGGACGTATCTTACCTTTGGGCTTCATGGCTTAGGGTCAATTGGGTGTGTCAGGCTTCAGCGCGGCAGGGTCCTATATGCGGAACAGGTTGTAGGGGAAGGGGCTTCGAGGTTCAGTGAATAAAGCTTGGGATCCTTGACAAGGATCCTACGTTTAGGAGTTCATATTGTTCTGCGTTTGTCTGAAACTGCTATCTTAAAGGGGACCCGGCTCAAGCTACCTGTCTGAAAAGCTACCTGGCGGGGAATACGTTCTGCAATCCCCGTACCCCTCAGCCGGAGAGCCCAACCTTCCCCGAAACTCCCCCTAACACCCCAAACCCGTCTAACGCAACTCCACAAAACCCCTTTAAACCCTCTAAACCCTAAACCCTAAACCCTAAAAACTAAACCCTACACCCCGAAACTGCACCTTGCTGATCCAGTCCAGGCTTTCGCAGAACCTCAATCGCCACCCGAGCAGCAGCCTTCTACAGTTAGAGACACGCGCATGTGCTTTGAAAGTCCTGCCCGGCTGTTGGAAACCACCTGGCCACTTCCTTCTCAGATCTGCGTTTGCTTTGGCCCACACTCCTCAAAGTCCACGGTGCCGTTTCCATCCAGGTCGAGCCTGGGCTGCAGATTGAAGATTTGGACGTCGGACCACGGGTACAATTAGGGATTCAAGGCTTCTGGGAGGACGAAGCACTGCCCCTCTGTCAGTTTGGGAGGGTCCGCAGAGAGAATCTCAAAAAAACGCTTGTGCCCAATTCGCCACCACAAAAAGCGGAATATAGCGCAGAGCACACCGGAGTAACCCTTTGACCCTAGCATGCCGAGTCGCAAATCGAAAATCTGCTTGATGTCTTCCAGGTGCAGCTTCACAGTCTGCAAGCAGGGGAGCTGGCCCCTCATACTTGATACGTGGTCGGCTGTTTTGCTGGGCAATACGAAAAGTGGTATTGTGGTTATGCCTACATGAGTTATATTGGCTATGCTGCTGTTACTCGCGGCATCTGCTACTGCTCTGTCGGCTGCATTGATGGGCTTAATGAATACTAGCATGATGGGTAAGACGAAAAGTGCTATTGTGGCTATGCTTACATGAGTTATAATGGTTGCAAAGAGTGCAGAAAATGTCTACATCAATCTCAGAAGCACGATACGGCCACACTGAGCTAGCCTCAGTGTCTTGGCCAGTGGCTTCAAAAGCAGTTGATGCTTGCATTGCCTGTTCTGTTACTGGGATTGTTCTCCTTGTTCTAGGAAAAGGACCTGTACAGGCGCTGCCGTTCCCATGACGATTACGCCTTCTATTCCTGTTAATTATTTACTGTTACTGTGCTATCTGCTACTGCTAGTATCATTCTCGTGAAAGGATATATGATGCACATTGCTACGAAAACACAAACAACGACGTCGATAACCACCACTGCCATCACCACGGCTACCACCAATACCACTGCTGCAAGTGCTGTTGCTACTATGAAGATGATGTTGATGACACTCCGAAAACCTGTGATGTCATGTCTTCTGTGTACCGCAGCACCTGCTGAAGCCGTCGCACTTGGAAGGGGGAGTTCAGGATCTCCATGTACAGCTCGCGCCGCCTGGCAAGTTGAAGCGGCCGAGACGGAACCCAAGCGCCATGACGTTGAAAGAGTTGGCGACGTTAGTCACGAGCCAAAGGGGCCACTGTGCAACCCCACTCGTTGGGCCAGGGGGCAAGTACCGAGAATACTCATAAACCCGAAACCCTAAACCCGAAACCAGAATCCGGGGTCGGAGCAGTCTCCCAGATCCATCCGGGTCGGCGGCTGCGAAGATCTGAGATAGAGTCCTGGCAGGAAGAGCAGAAGTCGGAACACTTAAGGGCTTGCTTCCCGTTATTTATGATAGATCTGCCATGATGATTACGCCGGCTGTATCTGAGTGAACATAGTACGCCTGCACCGGCTCCTACGAGAGCACCTGCTGGTCGTATTTTGTGGAAGCACCCAGAAGGAGAGACACTTCATGTCAAGAATCAACTGCGGATATTTTAAAGTACTGCCGCTCGGATTCTGGTTCTCAACAACGCCCAAACTACAAGCTGTGTCTGGAACAGCAAACTTGTTAGACAGTAGCCATCGTCACGGTCGTCGCCACTGTAGTAGCAGTAGCAATGGTAATAGAAGTAGAAGTACTAGTAGCACTAGTACTCGCATGTTGTTGTTGTTGTTGCAGCATTTGTAGTACCAGTGAAGTAGCAGCACCAGTCACTACCGTAGTAGTAGTAGTAGTAGTAGTAGTAGTATTAGTAGTAGTAGTAGTAGCAGCAGCAGCAGCAGTAGTAGTACGACTACTACCACCGGACGCCAACACGACGCCTTCCGTAAACGGAAGTGACCCACGACCCCTCAAGACCAACTCTCCCAGCCCAAAACCCCAGAATCTTCCTCGCATTTCCGGCCTCACCTTCAGGCATGACTTCGGGAGTTCAGGGTTTAAGGTTTCGGGTTTAGGGTCTGGGGTCTAAGGTTTAGGGTTTGGGGGTTTCGGGTTTAGGGCTTGGGGTCTGAGGTTTAGGGTTTGGGGAGTTGAGGGGTTTCAGGTGTTTCTGCGCCGTTTCTTCTTCGGGCAGCCGCCTTTAATCAAACAAAAGCCGATGAAAGCCGAAAGAGCCCACAAAGCAAACCTAAGACGGCCACCAGCCCCTCCAAAAACGAACGGCCAAACGCCCACAACCCCACAACCCCTCAAAAAACCCATAATAGGAGCGCCTACAGTACCCTCACATAACCCGCAAAAGGAGCCACTGAAGTCCCCGAAATCTTCGGAGGATCCGTGAAAAGACTCGGCCTCACCAGATTGCCCTGGCGAACGTCGTGGGCAACTTCGTCCTCCGACTCTTGCACCTGCTGGAGGCGGCATTGATGGAGGGCTTAGGGGTTTAGGGGTTTAGGGGGTTTAGGGTTTTAGGGGTGGCTTAGGGTTTAGGGGTTTAGGGGTTTAGGGTTTTAGGGTTTTGGGGCTTAGGGCCCAGGGTTTTGAGGCTCCGGGCTGCGAGGAATACCGCGAGTGTCACTAGCATGAACATGCTAAACACGCCGTCGGGCCGTACAAAATGATGATGATGATGATGATGACTCGGGCCAAACCTGTGGCTGGCCAACTATTACAACGACAACGACGACAATGAAGAACACGACGGAGAAGGTGAACGACAACATTAATTGCGCATGATCCAAGTGCTCAAAACGGAAGAAGAGTTGCGGTCATCATGAGTGATGACGGCAGTTGAGAGATGACTCCAGGCTTGTTTTGGTCTAGTAGTGTAGGCAGTATAGGGTTTGAGGGCTGAGGATTCCGGAGTTGGGATCTCAAGGAAGGGCGGGGGGGTAGGAAGGGTTGGGACCCAGCCTCGCGCACATATTGGATGTGGTCGCTGACCACACCCGTCATCACGCTCAAAAGCGCCTGTGCCGGAGAGACTCAAGAGCCCCGGCCCTCACCCTCCACTAGCCTTACAAGGACTCAGGTCTCAGGTTCGGGGGTGTTACCGCTTTTAGGGTTGAGGGTATAGTGTTTGGGTGACGGTATGGCTGTGTGCTTCGATTTGGCTTCCACTTCAGGCCTTTCAGGACTAGAGACCATTCTGGTTCTGGCTTCGCTGACAGGCCGAATGCTGGCACCAGGGTGTGGTAGTGTAGGGAACTTAATGATTAGAACGGTGCTTCGGGGGAATAGTCTACCGTACTTATGATCAAAAGGGCACTATGAAGCGAATCCAATATTATTGCTAGCTACTCCGCTGTTCAACTCCTATATGACTCAAGGTCGTCATGCAAGATCCCGTCGGTTATACCTCGAAACCAGCGAAACTGCAAGCCTCAACATATTAGCCTGCGAACATAAACCAACCTAGGCCCAACCCGTACATGTCCCAGCACTTTCCCTTGTTCACGTGCTCTTGAAACACACAACACTAATTTCCTGGTGGAGGTGGTGGTGGTGGTGCCGTCGGGAATGGTGGTGGTGATGGCGGTCGTGGTGGCGCCGTGAAGCACGGCGCAAACTCCAAGATTGAGGGTTTGGCCGAAATCGACAACCCAAGGCATGGCAAGCGAGCTTAGAAGGACAGACTCATCGCTCCAGACCTTACGGCGGCTTCCCTACACCCTGCAGCCTTTCGAGGCCCCCACCCAGGAGGAGTAGATAGTAAACACCACGAACATGAGCTTCGTCCAGGGCATGAGATTAAGCCTCGGAAGGGAGTGGGTAGTATAGGGGCCTTTATAATTACCTATACTATTCTGGGAGGCTCCTTATTAAAATTATGGTACAATATACCCCCAAAATCTTGTTCTACTTTTTCAAGGCCCCTAAAGGCCTCTAGAGCACCTGCGCCCCTCTCCGGCGGTAGAAACTCGGGTTTAGGGTTTAGGGTTTAGTTTAGGGTTTAGGGTTTAACTGTTCAGTTGAAGGATAGGCCTTGCAACTAGTAGCGTGGATGTGATAGGGTTACCTAGGGCTTGGGGTCTCTATGCTTCTGGTCATCACCAAGAACAAGGAACCTACACCAAGTAGGGTCCTTTTCATAGTATCCCCCCAGCGGGCCCCCCAAAGCTAGAAAATGTGCGTTTGCCAATCTTCTTCAGGAGCCATACATAGTGTCACAAAATTCCCTGACCCACTGGTGCAGGGCTCCCTCGCAGGCCTTTCACGGTTCAGGGTACGGTGTCATCGGGTTTAGGGTTTGGGAGGTAGATTTTGGGTGAGCAGATTTCTGTGACATCTTAGTGCCGTCATAACTGTCACTGCCCTTCTTCCCCTGTCGTCGTCAGCATGAACATCGCCAACGGGATCGCCCTATTCATAATCATACTTCGCAAGCCACTCCCTCAAATCCCAACCTCAAGCATCCACCCTTCCTCCCCCGCTCAGGCCGTCCGAATACCCCCGAAGCGCACAGCTTTTTCAATCGATAGTCGACACTCAACGACTTTGCCCCTTTAAAAGGACAGCCTCGGAAGCTGCCAGGGACTCGAAACATAATACTTGGGCGAACTTGGGGGTTTAGGGTTTAGGGTTGGGGGTTTCGGGCCTAAAAAGATGTTTGGGCTTTTAGGGCGTAGGGCTTAATCAGTCTTAATCCGGGTTCCAGGGGGCCTTCAAGGCCCTGTTCAAGGCAGTAGTAGGACAAGGACCCTTCAATCTACCCTACAACCCTGAAGCTTAAGCCCTGAGCCCTAAACCCCGAATTCGCCCTAAACCCTAAACCCTAAACCTTAAACCTTAAACCCTAAACCCTAAACCTGCTTTCAGGTGCATCCTCAATCCTCCTCTTCGGAGGAGTCTTGCCAGTAAACATCCGGATGGCTCTTCATCTCGACCCTCGCCAAGTGACAGCTTGAACGCACAGAAAGACTTAGGGCTTAGGGGTTTAGGGTTTAGGGTTTAGGGTTTAGGGGTTCAGGGTTTAGGGTTTAGGGTTTAATAACATGAAGCACGAGTACTCATAGAAGTTGTCATAATGGCAATAAGACTCGCAATCGTGATAATCCTGATGCGAGTAGCAATAATAACAGCAATGATGATAACAGTGATCATAGCAATAGTAGAAAGAGTAAGACTAATGATATTGGCAACAATCATTCTAGCAATAGTCATACTAGTAGTCATAGAAATGACAATCTTGTCCGCAACAGTACCACTACTGATACAACCGAATATACGAAGCGATTGTAGTCATAGTCGTCGCAAATGTGTGGGGCCTTGTAAAGCCTCCACAGCTGTCAAGCCTCATTTTTTCGACCTCCAGGGTCTGATTCTGAATTAAATTGGGTTTAGGGTTTAGGGTTTAGGGTTTTTTTTTAAGTGCAGTGGCCTTTCTCCGCATGACTGGGTTGGATTAGGGTTTAGGGTTTCGGGTTTGGGGTTTCGGGCTTCAGGGTTCCAGGAGGCACCCTATGCGAGCCACGTGAAGAAATCCCTGTCATGCGTTTCCGGCTTAGGGTTGTACTCAACCTTCATCACCAAGATCATCACCATGACCAGCTTGACAATGGCCAAACATCATTGGCCTCAACAATACCGACTTGCTGTAGCTGTTTGTGTCCAGACTGTTTGAAGCTCCTTGTAAATCCTGTCGCCGCTGAATCATGCAGCGTGGTGCTGCTTCGAATGCGCCCCAAAGAAGCGCTAAGGGCCTAACTAGGGTTGATGACCTAAATCCTGCATTACCCATACCAGGGAATATACCATAATTCCCATGCTTTAGGGTCCCTAAGGTAATGCAGGATTTTTATCATCAAACGTAGGACTCTCTAGCACCCCAAACCCCCTGAGTCTCAAAGCTACAACTTTGTCTGCCGGACCTCCTAAAGACCCAGACAGCCAGACGGCTAACTCCCAAGCAGTCCTGTCTACGGGAATCACCGGGCCACGGCAGAAGAAGGCTGCATCCTTTGCCGCAGCCACTTTAAAATCCGCGCTTGGGACGCTCAAGGCACGAAAGCAACAGCAACAATCGTACTTCTGACAAGAGCCATGATAGCATCACTGGTGATGGTGATGAAAACATCATCATGACCCCATGGATGACAACGGCACGCACGAAACTCTCAGTGCAAAAAAGGATGGCTGATCCAAAACACGCTGCAAACAGTATCGGAGGCTCAAAAGCAAGGACAGGGGCCGAATCAGGAAAAAAAACAGTACTGTTGATGATAAGAATCCTGCACAACCTTAAGGACCCTAAACTATGGGAATTATGGTATATTCCTTATTATGGGTAGTGCAGGATTTATATCATCAACAATATGCCACTGAAATATGGAAACTGCTGGTGCAGAACATCAGAACATACCAGTTCAGAGGCTCATGCTCTGTGATCCTAAACCCTCCACTTGCTTATGAGTTCTATGTCCATTTGTCCTCTGAGTGTTGCTTCTTTCTGTCGCCGAACCAATGTGCATGTGTTTCTGGAATGCTCCCGTATCTTTATTGTTTGCATTATGCTATATCTCTATCATTCGTATTATATCGACTACCTCTAATATTTATCATCGTGCTTGTCACCATTGTTGTTGGAACTTTTGTGGTCATTCCTCTTGTTCCTCATGCATACTTGTTGTTTTTCGTGTTATTGCTATTGGTGTTGTTGCGGGTATCATCTTTCTTCTTAACCCGGTTCCTACATTAAAAGAGCTTCTGCGTGGATTCCCAGCTCATGCTGCGGCGGAGGATTCGGGAATCTGCTTTTTATGAATGCTCAATATTCTTGCCAATATTATTGCCAACACTCTTCTATTTTCGTATCCCTTAACTAAACCCTACCTATCAACATGCTTATAGGGTGCGGGAAGTTGACATGCAGAAGACGAGCTGGTTTCTTCGGGCTGGCGGGACATACATGAACATCGGGCTGTAACGGTCCATGCGAAACCCCAAACAGTCCTAAACGCAACAACGTTCAGCCCCACATCATCCAGGCTAGGGTTTAGGGTTTGGGGTTTAGGGTCTCTTTGACCTCAGAAGCCTGACAGCAAGTCCCCAGCCAATACTGCTCCTGACCCAGCAATCCGAAATCCTAAACTTTTCGGTCTTTAAAACCGTGAACACGACCTAAAGCCTACATCCAAACTCCAACACCTTAAAAATCAACGACCGCGCATGAAAGACTATCTTCCCCTGGCCTTCGGAAGCTGCGACCAATGCTTCGGCATCTCAGCTGCTTAGGGGGATGGGCTCGGGGTTACAGTGCGACAGGCGTAAGATAGGGGCCGGAATAATCAGAATAGGGTGCTGCCACATGTAATACTACACATGTGGCGACTGCAACGGGATACTGTTATCAACTATTCCCACCCGTAAATTAGGCTATCAGGGTTTAGGGCTTAGTTTGAGCGCATGGGGCTCAATGGTTGCGGGGTAGGCTCTGTCATACTAAGACAAACGACAACAAAAATAAGAGCAACCATAGTAATCATAGTAACAATGTTAATCATCATCGTCATAATCATCATCATCATCACAACATAGACTACTATAATATAACATAGCAACAGTGACCATAAGATGGCAGAGACAATTTGTTTAGGGTTTAGGCGTTTAGCGGTTGGGGGTCTAGAGCGCGGGGTGTAGTGTTGTGAGGGCTTAGGGTTTAAAGCTTCCTATCCGCATACTATCTACGATCAGTGATACTGACAAGCTGCAAGCCATAGTTAGCAATCACGATTATCCCTAAACCCTAAACCCTCAGTTTCAAACCACTACTGCCCAACTAAGAACGCAACGAAACCAAGGCAAAGGCCGATGCGTGAGGCATCATGAAGGTATTGTCAGTTTGTTCTTCGAGCATGAAGAACAGGTGTAGGGCTTCTGGTTAGGAGTTCAGAGCTGAGGGTTCGGGCGGCTTAGGGCTTAGGAAGCAGCTCGGCTGGATGGGTGTTCACTCCAGGAGCACTGCCATGCTTCCCGTCTCGTTAAAGGTTTCATTCATTTCTCTACAGACTCCTGGTCCGAGCTGCAAGGTCATTGTAGCCAGGTCAACACAAGCTACACCCGAAACCCTAAACCCAACCTCAAGCCTCCCAGCCCCTCTTTCTACACTCGCACGGTTCCGAAGCCCTGGAGCCCAAGGGGCTTTGGCTCCACCAGTCACCTGATAAAACAAAGGTGCTGGACAGGGCACCCAGCATTTAGGATTACGGGAACCAGCAACTAGAAGTGAAGCTCCAGGCATATGCCTTCAAGTGCGACGATTGTGTTCCTGATGATGGGTCGAAGTGGTAGAGGATTCCATGAGGCTAAACCAGGCGGGGTTCAGGATTGCAGGTCAGACACTCACATGCCTCCTTAGAGCCATGGGTGCCCCTCAAAAAAGCCATTTCAGAAAGGCGGGGAGCCTGAACTCGGCCCAAAATACTCCCGACTCTGACGAGGCACAATGCGAACCCCCCCCGCCCCCCCAAAAACAAAAAAAAAAAACAAAAGGCGGTCAGCAAAATCGCCCTACCCTAAAGACCTGCAGCCCCGGGTTGCTACACGGCCTGTGCTTACTGCCTCTGCTTGAACAGTGGCTACCAGCTTGAAGACTATGCACGCTACCACAATTGCGACTGTTGCGCACCCCTGGACAAGTGGGATAAAAAAGCGAATGATGGGCAGGGCGAGTACTCGTACCGTGATTGCCAGGTCTACTCAAATAGCTGCCACGAGCATCACTGCGAATCTGACTGTGGTGGCTCTGGCTACACGAA